AAAAAAAAAAAAAAAAAAAAGCAAAACAGGACAATCTGGTAATGGCTAGTCCCAAAGGACTCAAAACTCAGAGAAAGAATCCAATAGCCTAGAGAACAATCTCCAAGAGAACCAGAGTAACAAGAGTTCATCACTAAAGGTAGAAGAGAAGGTTTTAGAATTCAAATAAAACTAAAAGATTCAAAAATCACCCACAAGAACCAAAAAAACCGCTAACAATACCAAGACATTGATAATTCTTTACAACTATAAGAAAAATGGAAATATTCCCCATGAAAACTAGAATTAAAGAAGGCACTTCTTTTGAAAGAACACACATAACCATCAAACGTGCTTTCTAAATGCAGACTAGAGTCTAGGGGGCAATGGATAAATATCTATAAAACTGTAAGGAAAAAAAACTTCAATTTACCTAATTCATAAGTGACAGCAACAAAAACCCTTCTATGGGTTATAAAATACTCTTCTTCATCTCCACAGTGGAGTGTCCCCACACAAAAGGCACTCACTCCTTCATCAATTCTATTAACTACTGTGTAAAAGTCATTAACTCACTGTATAAGAACTGTAACTGTGTAGAGGATCGTGCACTTGACACACACAGGTGACACTGTCCCAGTTAACAATGGGTTATTTGGTTCTGGGTGAACTGTAAGGGCCCTCTCTTCTCACAGCATACAGAAGGAGTAACACTATTACTAATGTAACAAACTGTCTTATGCTATCCCAGAATCAGAGGGATAACTTTTCACCTCTGCAGTTGAGAATGTGGGAGAGGGCCTCTGCACAGCTTCCTGTATGGTCTGTCTTCATCTCCCAAGCACAGGAGGATCGGATATCATCCCAAAAGATTCTGAGGTGAACCTGTGCCATGGACACTTAATATAGAAAAACGGGCTTCGCTGGACAAATACTTACCTTTCAAACCAATCTTGACAGTACGTTTCAGGCCTTAGAAACTTACAACCACCTTTTTCAGCACTGGCAGATGCTGCCAAAGCTCTCAAAAGGCCTTCAAGCTCCTGTCTTCTTAGCTGCTCTTTCACCAGAGCCACCTCACCTTGGTGCCACAACGTCCTGATCTGTCCAACTGCCCCTGGACATTCAACCTACCCCTCCCCCATACGAAGGACAGAGCAGTTTCTCTTTCTTCCCAATCTCAATCAAAACCCCAGTCCTACAAATACAGTTGGTTAATACTATTTATTTAAGCCTAAAAAAATCCCATCAAATAGATCATTCTGTAAGTACTTACTGAATACCTACCTACAATGAATCTTCAGTAGGGTCAATATCAAAAAGGATCTTCCTGCCTGGCTTAAAATGTTGAAAATCTTTCTTTCTCTGTTCCAAACAAGTTATATAAACTAAATGATATATGTTCCCCTCAAAATTCATATCAGAATCCTACTCTACAATGCAATGATATTTGGAGATGGGGCCTCTGCGAGGTAATTAGGACATAGGAGTGGAGCCTCCATGATGGGATTAGCACTTCTATATAAAGAGTCACCACAGAGTCTGCTTCCCCTCTCTCTCCCCCCAACATATGAGGACACAGCAAGAAGGCAGCTGTTTACAAGTCTCACCAGAATCCAACCACGCTGGCACCCTGATCTCAGACTTCCAGCCTCCAGAACATCAAGAAATAAATGTCTGCTGTTTAAACTACCCAGTTCAAGGTAATTTTGTTGCAGCACCTGGAGCAGATGAATAGGCACACCAAGAAATTCCAGCCACATCATATCCAAATAAATTCAACACTACAATGAATAGAGAACAGGCAGCCTCAGCTTGGTACAGGCAAGGACCTTAGGCTAAGATTCTGTTTATACTCCAAATTCCATTTGAGCTAAGAAGGGTTACAAGAAAAGACTATAATTTAAATGAATCTTTCATTGATAGAAAGACTATGGAAAACATATTTTGAGTATTCTCGCACCCCCAGCAAGTTGAGGAAAAACTAAAATACTGAAAACAATACTGCCTCCACAAATCATCTACTCCACCTCTCCCCACAGTTGGCATTTCAATGCTGACCACACTTCTCCTAAAGCTCAGTAAAACAGAACAGGTGCAGGCTGACAACAAAAATAACTTTAAAAAAAAAA